CGAGCGTGTTTCATCCAAACGCTCGCCTGCCTTCTGTTCTGTTCGCCTGAGACTTGATGAATAATTCAACAGTTTATTCACCAGAGAACAAGAGTGGAAATGGATGGAGAGGATAAAGATAGCACGGACAGTCCCGGGGAAACGAACTCTACCCGGCAACCAGAAGACCCTCCCCATGTCATCAGTGTTTCCATTCAGCTGCTTTTTCATTGGTTACTGTAACGCTGACGTTCCTAACAGAACAACTCTTTAATCCCTGGGATCTCAGCGGCTCCTTCCGTCACCTGGAGGTCAGTTTGTTTCACGGGGCTGGACTCTCAGCTGACAGACATTTTTGGGGTCAATTTTAGAAAAACCTCTCAGGGTTTTATGTTGTCAGGGACTGGGTGTTTCCAGGTCAAACCTAGGTTAACGGTCAGTCCAAAAACACACAGCAGTTTGAGTCAGGGTCAAAATGACACACGCCACAGGTGATGACAACGTCAGTCAGTGAACGACTCAGAAAAAGAGCAAAATGACACACACCACAGGTGATGACAACATCAGTCAGTGAACGACTCAGAAAAAGAGAACATTCTGAGGGTTGGTTTAAAGCAGGAACATTTTCATCATTTCTCCTTTGTTGCTCTTTTCCAGAGCCCAAAAAAAAAACCTTCGGGGTTTGACTTAGGGCTGGATCAGACAACTGAGGTTGGCCTGGTAGCACGAGGTCATCAACCACCAGTTATATCTGCATTAGAAAAAGGCCGTCACCAACAGACGTGAAAAGAGTGCTAACACCTGCCTGCTGTCAATGTCAATAAACTCCAAACCATAAACCTTGTCTCTTGTCTCCTGTGTTATAGTATTTAAGAAAATGTTGAAGAAAAATCTAATCCAGGGAAAGTAACGGCCGTTTATTCAGCATCCCTAATCTGACAGTAAAGTTCCGTTTCATTCTTGTTGTTCCGACTCTCCCCTGGTGGTCTGTGAGGGCTTTGCTAGTGGCGACATGTAAAGTTCTAAATAAGATAATGTCAACATTTCACAAACTGCAGTAAACACACATAGATTTTTTTTACCTTCTACATTGAGAGTGTGTTTTTTTTAACTAGTAGAAGAAGTGGAAGTGGCTGATGATTCAGGCTGAAACGCTGTTTCCTTCCCTGTTTTTTCAGAGGTGACGGCAGCTACAGTAATAATCCTTCATTTTTGTAGAAAGCCTTTTTTTTAACGCCTGTCTTTCAACTCAGCGGTGGATCGGTTCACTGACGCCACCTGAGGCCACATCACGGTACTTAACAACATGATTTATTTCTCCTCATCTCTGAATGTTTTATAGGTTCTTCACATAAAGTGTGCATGAATTTTTAACCTTTTTTAAGTCTGATGAAAACACCGCTGCAGACGTGTTTGGAGTCGGACGTGGACCTCAGGCCGCTTCTGTTCTAAACCTGAGCTTATTTAATCCCACGACGATCTAATCTAATAATCCTCAGGTTTCACTGAAGTCGTTGATGTTGTTTTCCATTAAATCAAGGGCAGGAGCTAAAAAGCTGTTATTTAGTCCATGAAAGGCTCCTAATGCAGCAACTATTACATTACACCGACTCAACATCGCCCTCTTCCTTCACCACATCTCACACTAACGTCGCTCACCCTCTTCTGTCGACTCTCAGCAGACGCCAGCTGCGCCGACATGCGCTCCTGCATCTTCCTGCAGTGAGCCATGACGGCCTCTAGGACGGAGATGGGGCTGGAGCCCAGCGGTCGTCGCTCCGTGGCTCCTCCAGAGCCGCTGCATTCAAAGTCCCTCTGGAGCGCCAGGAAGGGGTCGGTCAGGCTGTAGTGACCATAACGCTCCTGGAGAAACACCTCCTTCCTCTGAGCCTGGAGGAAAAACCATACAAATACATTAAACATAATCTTGAAAAAAAAAACTAAAATTGTCAAATTATTTCTCAACAAAAAAACCATACAAATATATTAAACATAATCATAAAAAAAACCCAACTAAAATTGTCAAATTATTTCTCAACATGTCTGTATTTAAATCTGACCACATTTGTAAGGTGTGCATCCATGAAAATGACATGAAAACTGGCAGACGCTGCTGCCAACACTGCCCCCTGGTTCAAACCAGTCTCCAGATCCTGCAGTGACAGCGCCACCTCTGCCCAGAACTGAGTGCTGCAGGCCCGCCTGCCTGACTCCACAGGCCTTCAGTACAGTCACAGCACAGCTGCTCTCAGGTTACACACACACACACACACACACGACGAGGGCTGGTGGAGAACCGAGGCCTGCGGTGTCGTTCCATCGTCTCTGAGTTTTCACGGCCAAACCACGAACGACGGCTTCATTCAAGGCCTGAACTCAGCTGCAGCCAAATGCCTTGAAAAAACACAATCCTTTTCAGGTGGGGGGTGGAGGTGGGGGGGGAGGTTAACTAACACTTCAGCTGAACAGCTGCGAGTGCTAATGTTTATCATTCATCTTCCAACTCCGACCTCCTACAGAATGTAAACAGAGCGCAGACGGAGCCGAGTCTGAGATCGGAAACTCCGCACGGAGAGAATGTATCTGCGACAGTAACGATGTTACAGTTTTGAATTCAAAGCAACAACAGAATTACAGAGTCAAAGGTCGTCACCTCCGTCCCAGCTCCTCAACAGACGGACCTGTACTGGAGCTCCTTCATTCAGTCTAGTTCACATTTGGGGCTGGGATTATCATCACGTATGGAGACCACAGGTGTGAACAAGCACCGACCTGGAGTACTGAGTACTGAGTACTGAGTACTGAGTACTGAGTACTGCACTGAAAAGGTGCTCTACCAAAGAAATATCTGCAGGAGAACTGATCTGATTATGACCTGAAACAACAATAAAACAAACCTGTAAAATACAACAACAACAACGTGGCCTCGAGACTCGTGACGGACTGTCTGCAAAATTTGATTTTCAAGAACCACAGAGATGTGAACTGTTCAGTTCAGTTCAGTAATTTCAACATCATTTCAAGTCTTTTCAGTTCCTTTATATTGAAAGAAGACAGTTTTACTGTGAAAATGGTAAAACAGATCACATGTCACTTTTTCATTTCTGGAGCGCAGTACCAAAGAAAGCCTGTAGGCCTGTACTTCTGTCCCACATCATCACCCCCACCACAGTATGAAAAGCCTAACCCTCAATTATTATCTCAGCAAAATAAAACAGTCTGGGTTTTTATCTCCATTTACAGGATTTGTGAGAATCTGGTCCTCCTGGATTATTCTGCTGCTCCACACTCTCCTGCCTCAGGCAGATGTTGACGTGGGGCAGAACTGAGTGTCAGGTGACCACTCACTGTAATCCAACAACTAATACCAGAGCAGTGCAGCAGTGGAACTGACAGAAACCCCTCAGACCATAAGTGGTCAAACCTCCAGACACCAGTTATTTACATCGACTCAAAGAGCTGAGAATCCTGAGGAAACGTTAAGAACGATAAGAACGGAACAGAAGGACAGCAGCATAACAACGTGTCGGTTTTCTCTTGAATACATCAGCAGCAGCAGCAGCAGCAGCAGCAGCAGCAGCAGCAGCAACACAGCCAGGGAGGAATGATAAATAACCGGTCGAGAGACATTTCAATTGAACGTCGGAGGCGAGACGGAGACGACAGACACGACAGGAGGAGGAGGAACAATAGCAGGGATGAAGAGGAGTGAAGTGTTTGGGACGCGCTTTGCCAAAGAAGGAGATGAAGAGAGTTTACAGACACTCCTGGGATCGGTGGTGTCAGGATTGATCGTGAAGCCTGGGGAGACGGAGGCGGAGCTCGGCAGTGATGGCTGACTGTGAGGAGGCCAACGTAAACACGACAGAAGAAAGGTGGAGAAGACAAGACTGAGATTTGAAAGGTTGGGGTTTTGTTTTTACAAATGACTCACCGAGAAACTACAAACACTGGGAGTGTGAACCCAGTCTGCTGCCGAGGTCTGCAGACAGACGCTCACACGTCAAGTATTAATGCTGTGGCTGAATAATCAGGTTAAGGCACAGGGAGATGTTTATATTTAGGAGAAGATTTCTGCCTGACTTTCTAATTTCTCAAACATTCAAACTTTAGAAGAAGTAAAGCAGAAGCACTGTCTCAAAAAAAAAATTAGTAAAGAAAATATTGAACACAAGCAGAAGCATTCTTTACACAGACTTGATTGAGTTTTCTGTAAAGTCTCAAAGTAAATAATCAGGACTGACGCAGCACATCTTTAAATCCAAGGACGTTCCTGTAAATATTTACACTGAGACAAAAACCCGTCAGAGTCAGAGTCGACAGACAAAAACCCGTCAGAGTCAGAGACAGAGTCAGAGACAGAGTCAGAGACAGAGTCAGAGTCAGAGTCAGAGTCAGAGTCAGAGTCGAAGACAGAGTCAGAGTCAGAGTCGGAGCAGCTGATTGTCCTCACGTCCACATCAGGTTGCTAACGATGCTAATGAAAAGACATGGTTGTGTGTAAGTAAATGCTACGACGGCTAATGCTAACAATCCTTTTGGTGGATTCGTCAGTTCACTAAGACAGAATAACAACGTTAGCACGATACTAAAAAGTATGGATCTAAAAAACTATTCAAACATATAATAATAATAATAATAATTTGAACTTAATTGATCCCACACAGCCGATCTGCCACATCAGGCTGCCCTCTAGGAGGCGCCAAGTATGTGTCTCCACAGGGAACCCAGGACTTCCTGCTCTCTGTTCCAAGGCAGACGTGCTAACTATGAAACCATCAAAATGATCAACTATCATGGTGCTCGAACCCACAACCCTCAGAGTCTCGAGCTAGCCGCTAATGTTTCAACTGTGTATAACATTTTCAGAGTCTCATGCTCTATCGAGCTAATGTTTCAACTGTGTATAACATTTGTTTACAATTTGATACACGCTGTGGAAAAAAAATCTTCTTTTCACCTTCAGTTTAAAATACCATCTGCACATGTATGTGTTTTCATCCAAACAGCTTTAAATAAAACTTGTATCTCATGTACTCTCTCTTGTATTCACCCATGTACTCTCTCTTGTATTCACCCATGTACTCTCTCTTGTATTCACCCATGTACTCTCTCTCTCGTACTACATTAAACAGCATTTCCTAACTGCTTTACTCTGGTGGACGGTACCTGCTGGTTTCAGCAGGTCAGAAGTGTGAATCAGCCCGGTCCTCTGGGGGAAACATTTCCACCTCAGACGAAGAGTTCAGGCCAGAAGAAAGAGAAGAAGTTGAGATGCAGGGTTATTTTGGGAACTGGATCAAATGTTTTGGTTTATTGTGAAACTGCGGCGGACCATTTTAAGACCGTGGCAGGTCGCCCGAGTCCACTTCATTTACAGGAAACAATCTTTTATTGTGTTTTTCGCTTCGTTAGCCGGGCTTTTCTCAGCGCTGTTGTTTTGAACCACGCAGTCAAAATACACGACATCCAACGAACGCTGTGAAAACAGCAGAGGAAGAAGCTCACAGAAGTCGTGCGTTTGGTTCTAATGAGAGCCGAGAACCAGGAGTGATGTTGGTGTATTTACACTTGAAAAAATAAAATACCTCCAGAGTATTTACAAGTACAGGAGAACGGAGCCCGGAGCTAACGCTCAGGCTGTATTATTAGCATCAACCTTTACAGGCATGCTGCACGGGGTGGGTGAGGCGGTTCAGGCAGCACAGCCAGAGGGAAACCAGAGAAAGAGTGATGGATCTGTGCTGTGGAAGACGGAAGAAAGACGCAGAAGACAGATGAGATCTGCTGCCGAGGAGGGAAAGTGGCAACAAACGGAATTACGGCAAAGGCTGTGAGAGCCAAACGACTGAGCAGAGAAAACCTCATCAGCATAGTGTTCCACAGACCAGTGTCACTACTGACACCATGAGATACCAGAGTCAGCTCTGACGTCTGATGATGTGAAATATAGACTTGTGTGTACTTGGGGGGGCAGGGGGGGGGGCTAAATAGGCAAAAGGTAAACTGTCAATCCACAAAACAAATTGTGGTTCAAGTTTTAAAAAACTACTTAACACACATTACTGGATGGAACAGGATCATGATGTAGAGGAGGGCAGCGACCAGCGAGGGCGCTGTGATTCTCCACCCCAGGAAGAAGGCTCCATCTCCTCGACATCCTCAGTCGTAGCAGAGCATGAACTTTGGTGTAAATGTAATTGAACTCCATTCAGCGACTGTTTGAACATCACACCGTGGCCCGCGGCCAATCCAGCCTGACAGGAAACTCATCAGGCCCAAACAGAGGAGCCGTTCATGCTCTGAAAGAGGAGGAAGCGCCTGAGGAGGCCTGAGTGAAGAGGCTAACGCTGAAGATGAATCTCAATTGAATTTCCCCAAAGGCAGAGAATAAAAGGTTTAGGTTTGAAGGACTGAAGAGCAGGACAGACTCTGAGGACGTCTCAGTCCGTCTGTCTACCTGTTGTTGTGTGGAGGAAATGAAAGAATTCTTCTTCCTGATGTTGCGTCTGTCGATGCTCTGATCTCCACACAGGCTAATCAATCCTGACAAACCAGGAATCACACGCTAACATCAGCTCCGCTCCTCTAACCGCTTTGGTGATTTCAGCTTCTCCAGATACAAATGAACCTCCATCTACAATATGATTAAATATGTTGTTGTCAACAAAACTGAAGATATGTTTTTAAAAACTGATAAATAGAAGAAATCCGTGGTACTGTTGTATTCAGGAGAACTGTTGATGTATGTGATAAAAAAAGCGAAAAACTCCAGAGATTGGATTCACTCATTCGTCCGATGGCTGACTGTTAAGGATCAGATTGGCTGGATTCAACGTCAGCTGGTGTTGGGGAGAGGATAATCCAGGACTGTGGTTGGTAGATGAACA